CTTTTAGACTTTTAGATCATCTGTTCTTGGGGAGCAGGCCTAAGCCAGCAGGTGGGCATCCCCCAAGGGTCCCAGACTTTAAGAGGGTGCAGGCTGGGCTGAGGGACCCCCCATGTGCATATATATATATATATATATGAAAAGATCTGCATAAACTTAATACCCAAGGAGGAGATGCAAACAACATGTTGCCTTGATCTACAGAGTCTATGCAACCCAGCCAGGAATATACATGTAAGTGCATTATTAAATAAAAGTATCTGTGGGTTTACTGTTAATGATGCAAGCAGAAGGGTTTGATAACTATATCCAGAAGTTGGGAAGAAGAGCTAAGGGGTTAGGTCAACTATAATCGTGGGAGGGAGGAATGAATCCATTATATAGCAGTTTTGCATATCAGCATTCCTACCATGTTGGAATTTTGACATTTTACAGAAATACTCGACAAGAAAGCAAAGAGCTTTTTCTGCAAACAATGAAATTTAAAACCCGATGAGCCAAGCATGACTAAGTTTTGAAAGGTGGCAATAACTAAATAAAAGTTGCCTTATATTTGTCCAAGAAGCTTAGTAACAGTTCCCAGAAGGTTTCCATGCCTTAAATCATTATACTAGGTTTATTAGCATTCACAGCAGCAGCAGGAAGACACAATAGCAAGAAGAAGGGAGTCATAGCGCTACACCCTATTTTTATCACTGACAGCTCAACTTCTCTTATGCATTGTTCTCTGCGTACAAATAATTATGTGAGCTTATGAATCTATTCAATATAATGAGCTTCTATAAGAGTTCATGTGTTGAAGCATCCATTCATCCATCCATTCAACAAAGATGTAATGCACGCTTCCTGTGTCCCAGGCCCTCAAAGTATGGTGGTGAATAAAGAGGCAAAGTCCTTCCCCTTCCCCAGCTCTCAAGCTGATAAGAGAAACAGGTAATAACCTGGCAATCCCACAAATGATTAATTAGCTGTTAATACTGTGACAATTGTTCTGAAGAAAAAGAGTAGGGTGCTAAGAAGGAAATATAACAAGATGAAATGGTGAGTGAGTTAGAGTCTTTCATTCTTGAAATCTAAGTCTAAATGACCACGAATTCTATTTTTATTAGATAATCTCCATGCAGTTTTTCTTTTGCTGCATCCAGATATAACTGAGGAGTAATTCCTGACACTACCTCTCCACCTGAAGAAAATGCCCATTACTGTCTTGAACCACTGTCCGGGCAACTTTCCATTAGTGTGCATGAGGCAGCTAGAGAGAAGGCTTCTATTGGTGCCACTCCCACTTTTGATCATTTGAACACACCATATTTCTTTAATTAATTTATTTTTGGTTAATCCTCAGCCAAGGATGTTTTCCATTGATTTTTAGAGAGAGAGTGGAAGGGGTGGGGAGAGACACAGAGAGAGAAATATTGATGTGAGAGGACACATCGATTGGTTGCCTCCCATAGGCGCCCAGACCAGGGCCGGGGATTGAACCTGCAACCGAGGTATCTGCTCTTGACCAGAATCGAACCCGCAACCTTTCAGTCCACAGGCAGATGCTCTAACCAGTAAGCCAAACCGGCCAGGGCTCGAACACATCCTATTTCTTTTCTGAGCACACACACATTCAGAAGGAATGGACCATGGAAAGAGCTTGGTCTAAATGTTCTGATCTTGAATTTAACATTGTGTGATATTGACTTAAGTTTCTTAATCTCTTGAATTCTCAAAAGAAGTGGTTGAAAGGGGCTACTCAGGGCTGGTGGGCAGATTGAATGAGATAATGTTGGTGGAAACACCCTGCAATTCTGCAGAGGCCTAAGACATATTACTATGCTATCGTCCCTCCTGCGAGTCCTGTTGTGACATAGAATTCAACAGTCTCTTGTGTGACTATGAAAAATAAAAACCAACCAACAAACCAAACAGAAAACACACTTCTTTCGAAAGACCTCTTATCTTGAAAAAAAAAAAAAAAGATAGGTGAGGGGGTATTTAGTTCAGTTAGTTACAATAATCTAAATAAATATTCTCTCAGCTTCATCCAACTGAAAATAATTTTGATTTGGCTTCATTTTTAAGTTGTTAAGTTCCTTAGTCCTTTCTGTTAAAACCAATACAGGGAAAAGAACATTTTAATTTTTTTCAGCCAACAGATGAATTCTTTTCCCAAAGGATGGTTTGCCTTTTATGAAACCATCATGAACACAGATATCTGCCGGATCAGATATTCCTGGTTGCGTATTCCTGAAGCTCCTATAGCAAGCTTCTGTTGCAAGAACGTTGCACAGTGCTGAAGGAAATAAAGAGTGCAGTCCCCATATGAAAAATGAATTGGGAATCACTGGTTCCATGGAAAATTCATAAGAATTGTTTATTTTTGAGAATTATTTATTAGGGTCCTAGGGTCATCTAAAAGCATCCCATTGTATGAATGCTAATGGCATTATTCATATTGCATTTTAGTAAAAAATTGGTGCTGTATAATTATTTTCTATTTCTTATCGCTTACTGATTAGGTACTCTCTGAGTCTCCTGCGCTTACAGTTTCAGTAAGATATTTCTAAATCAGTTTTGCTCGGCTGTACACACCATGCACACGTCTGGATGTTTTGCTTTCAAGTGTTTGATCCTAACTCAATCGCAACCTTTCTGAGCTGCTGGCCTGTTGCCTTTTACCTCTCGGGACTCAATTATACTCTAATTGGCAGGAACGTGCAGAAAAGATATTCAGCAGTGAATTTGCAAAAGCTTGAACTTGGCACGAGGTGATTCCATTGACAGTCAAGGGAAACGTACAATATCATCTTTAATTCTCACTTACTTGTCTCACTCTCTTTTTGGAGCTTCCGACTCGAAAGATCCCCACTGTCTGGAGGCCTGAAAACAAGCAAACAAAATCAACAGGCCTGTTTTATGGCGTGAAACTCTGGCGGAAGTCAAAATAGAAACAGAACAGAAGGCCAGCACCGGGCTACAGCATGCAAATTCTATCACTTGATGCGCCCACTGTCACTCTCCAGTCCCTACAGGTTAGCCCTATAACCAACGGGATAATTTGATGTTAAACATTTCTGCTAAAACAATTTTTCATGTGCTATGATGCACTTCTGCACCTCTATATGAGAAAAGTTATGCAACAATTTCTCTTATTATTCAGAATAATTACTTAATCATGAATTTTATATGGATTTTTAGCTCTTTATCAATATTGAAAATAGTTCTTGTTTTACTGATCATACATAAAACATGTACTTATTAAAGAAGATCTATTAAAGGCAGAAACATGTAAAAAATAATATATTTCAAAAAAACACCTGATACAGAAATAATTGCTCTTTAATATTTTGGGTTCTTTTTATCCAGCCATTTCTCAATATACATACAGGGGTGGACAAAAGTAGGTTTACAGTTGTAATGCAAATATATAATTAATAAATAATAATGCCAGAATTAACATTCACATACTCACAACTGTAAGCCTACTTTTGCCCACCCCTGCATATATGGAGGGAGGGAGGGAAGGAGGGAGAGAGAGGGAGAGAGGGAGAGAGGGAGAGAAGGAGAGAGGGAGAGAGAGAGGGAGAGAGAGAGAGAGAGAGAGAGAGAGAGAGAGAATGCTACTGTTTTCACTCCATATTATGCTATAAGATTTTTTTTTACTCCAGTAAAAATTCCTTGTAAATGTCATTGAAAATGCATGCAAATACTTTATAGTATGAATATGCCACAATTCACTTCATATTCCCCCCTGACTGGCATATAGGTCCCTTAACACATATGCACTTGTTTTGCATTATAAATGGCCCTATTATGTACAACTGTACATAGGTCTCGGTTCACACTTCTAATTTTCTTAGGATCATATCCTAGAAGTGGGGTTACTGTGGAGGTTGAGGCACTGCTCTTAAACAATTAGCTCTCTTTAAACAAACAGGTGTTATCACACACGAGACATTTCAACAATAGTTCCTTAATATCATTAAATTTCCAGTCAACATTCACATAAGGTTCACAAACTGTGATAGCTCTATATGCCTTTTAGTCTCTTAATGTATGTGTTCCCCTCTCTGCTTGTGTTTTTTTCTCATAATTGGTTTCATGAAGAAACAGCATAGCTCTCCCTCTGTAGACTTTCCCATCATCTGGACTTGGACACTCGTAGTGTCATTAGCATGTTCCTCTCTCTATTTCCTCTGAAGACATATTTAGAACCAGAGTTTCCTCAGATTCTGGTTTGATTTGGGGGGCAAAAATACTTCATAAGAAGTATTATGGCCCTCGCAGGTTTGGCTCAGTGGATAGAACGTCGGCTTGTGGACTGAAGGGTCCTCAGTTCGATTCCGGTTAAGGGCACATGCCTGGGTTGCAGGCTCGATCCCCAGTGGGGGGGCGTGCAGGAGGCAGCCGATCCATGATACTCATCATTGATGTTTCCATCTCTCACTCCCTCTCCCTTTTTCACTGAAACCAACAAAAATATATTTTAAAGAAATAAAATATAACATCTAACCTAAATTTTAAAATGATAGTCACAGCTGTGCCTGAACTGGTATATAATACTCAGACTTCCAGCATGTAATAGGATTTTTTTTGGGGGGGGGTGCTTTGCTTAATCTAGTTTTATTGAGGTTCCTCTCTCTTGCCACTGAGACAGTTCTGACTAGTACAATCTTTTTGTGTATTCTTTTATAGTATTGCCACATTATGCATTAAGTACAAGGCTTTTTATTTGGTTTTCTAAGGATCTTTAGTTAGAAACGAATCCATAAATACCCCACTTATCACCTCTCTGCCTTATAAGTGGTATCCAGGCTAATTTGAGCGGATCGTAGTGAAAGAGGGGCTAATTATGTTGGCACTTTGCTCTTGGGTGGGCTCTTGCTTTGTATCTATTTTCAGAAGACTTCTGTACCCTCTTGTTTCTGTCATCACTGTGTCTGCCTCACAACTGAGTCCAGTCCTCATTTCTTCTACCTCTCTGGGAGCTTGAAAACAGGATAAGCAAGCTATTAAAATCAAATTCGGAGTTCTATTTCTTTTTTAAAATAGATTT